TCACCAGAATAACACAAGGATTTTCACCAGGATGTCCTCCATCATACCTGAGACTAGTCAGTTTCAGCTCTCTTGCAGATTTCCTCTGCATGCTAAATCCTGTTACAATTGCAGCATATGTCTCTTGTGTGCAACAGTTTAGGCAACGTTCAGGAATTAGATCTCCCACCTCTTGCCTAGTGGGAAGCCTTTGGACTATCAGATGTTGCTAGTCTACACTCCCAACATCCCTTGCCTATGTTCTTGGTTGAAGTTGCTGCAAGTTATGCTGGAACATAGGCAGACTGGTCGCTGATGAAGGACCCAGTTACTCTGGCAATCATGTCTTGTGATTTTTTTCCCTAAGGCTTAGTGATCTTTACAGTGGTTATTGCTTTATCTGCTCTGATGTCACGGAGAGCTAAGTATTTATATGAATTGGGGTGGGAAATCTGTTGTCTTCCAGATGTTGCTGATCTATACCTCCTCCCAGTCCTAGCCAAAACAGTCAAGAATGTGGTCTCCTGACAGGTTTAAATCCTCCTTTCTAACAAAATTGAATATCTGGGCACTAAGGGAAAGGTAAAAGACATTAGTGGCAAAGAGGAAGTGACTAGAACGGTATTTCCTAACCTAGTTCCTTTAATTCTCACATTGGTTGGGAATTCTGACAATTGCAGGCCTAACACAGTAGAGGTTGGGGAAGGTGGGACTAGACTATTAGTCTAAGAGAAGAGAAACCCATTTTCAAAAAGTCATACAGATGGTCCTTATTTAACAACCACTTGTTCTGCAACTGTTCAAGCTTCTGACAGCTCTGAGTAAATAGTACTGATGACTGATCCTCAAAGTTGTGGCTATCATAGTGTCCCCTGTGGTCACGTGATTGCATTTCAGGTGCTTGGCAACTGGCCCACACTTCCAACTGTTGCAGCATCCTGTGATCACATGATTGCAATTTGTGACCTTCCCTGCTGGCTTTCCACAAGCAAAGTGAAAGGGGAAGCTGGTAGGAATTTGCAGTCACCTGAGTTCCTTGCTTAATGATGGCAACCAGGACTGCCTGAAATACGTATACCAACTTTCCCAACCTGTTGTCATATGGTTTTTCAGCTTACGGCCATGTCACAACAATGGAGTTTCCAGTCCCAATTAGCATTGTTGAGCAAGGACTACCTGTACAGCCATTGAAACGTACCTTAGGCTAGTTACTATTTCCCAGCTTAATCTGTCTTGCAGAGGTGTTGTAAAGACAAACAGGGCAAGGATACACAATATGTGTAAGCTATTTGGAACGGAAGTGCAATAAGAACATACAGTAAAAATTGTAAATGCTGCTTACCCAAGTTAAATATAGTTGGTGCCTTGTGAATGCAAATCAACTAAGCTTTCAGTTCAAATGACAAC